ATAAAAACCATCTTGTCATCAATAAAGGATACAAGAAGAGGACCTTGATATTTGGAGGAATGGTAGATATGAAAGAAGAATGAATGCAGCATTTTAGCAAAAAAAAAAAAAAAATTCTTTATATATTAAACTTTATTGATATCTTTGATTGTGCTATTTTTGTGTTCCATTATTACATTTTATTCAATTAGTAAACACAGGTTTTCAAATGTAACAACAAGGCAAATTACTCATGCTTTCAAAGACTAATCATTCTACTGGTACTTAAGTTACACATTAGGGAACTTTAGAAGTCACATTGATATTTTCATGTCAGGAAGATCTGGATTCCTTGATCTTGTGGAATAAAATATAAGCTTTAAAGTGAGAATTCACTTTATAAATGATAAAAGGTAATTTAGAAAGAACATACAAGAATCACAACTGAGTATTTAAGTTCAGTACAATACATTTATTTTTAGTTTTTTTCTATTGGAAAAACTAAAACTGTTTAATTTTCCCTAAGATTTAGTTACTTTAAAGAACATCAGCGGATTGTTATGTGTGTTAATTCAAGCATCAGGTTTAAAATATCACAACTCAACTTGCTGCAATTAAAAATTCTATGTAAGGTTGACTCAATTGTCCTCTTTTCTAAGACCAAACAGTATAAGACCAAGCAAACGCCTTTTTGAGATCATTTTGGGTTTCAGTCTCTCTCCTCTTTTTATAGACGTTTTGGGGGAAGGACAACTTTCTCTTAAATACTACCCCCTCAATGGAATTTAAACTAAAAACTTGTAAGGCTACAGATTGTAAAGTAATTAGTATTCATTATAAAATCTAAGGAGAAATAGTTAACTGATCTATGTGTAGAAGTAAATTGGTGAAAGGATAAAGTACAGAAAAAACAAGGGGAGAAAAGCACATTGTTTAATAGTAACTTAAGAACAGTCAAAAAAGTGGGGCATGTCTTATTTACTGTTATATAAAAAGAAGAAGAATGGACTATTTTGCATACAAAGGAAGGTATAGAAATATAATATAAGCCTTGTATTACAATGGAACTTAAATTCCTCTGGGCAGTGATCAGCTGAGATGGAACAGAGACAGTTACAAAGCAATGATTAACTAGCTGACAGAGCTATTATTCATGGCAGGTACTGTAAGCAGTCAGGGCAGCAACGTTGGTGGTCTCTATCATCAAGCAGCTTTGCCAGTACAGACTGGATGCTTGGAAGCAGGCAAGACACAAAAACAATAAAACCTAGAGCCAGCTAAGAGAAGATTCAACACAATCCATTTCCAATTTTAAATATCACTGGAAATCTATACTGACGATGTTTCACCTTGGGATTGGCATATATTGTGTTTACAGAATGTTGATGAATACTTACCTCTATTTATCTTACTTGTAGAGCAATATGTTTGAAATACCTAACTAAAAATACCAAATATATTATAAAAAGAAGTGATTCTAACATTAGTTGGACAAAATTTCTGTTGGTAGGTGTGACCAGCACATCATGTGGTTTCATGAACAGATGGTCAAATTGAGTCCATTTCACTGACATTATATTATGTGGGTCCTTTTATCCTGGACAATCAAGCAAACCAAAAGCACAACAGAAGAGGTCACTTTGCCCTCCTTCATTAGGTTGATGGTTTTATCAGTGAAATGTGAAAACAGAAATTTAACACAGGATATAATCATGCATGGTACCATTTCCAAATGACATTTAAGTTAATATTTAGATATTCATGTTAAAAATCCTGATACTTGTGAAGATGAAAAATTACACAGGATATTATTATATTTCAATCCCATAACTTCTAGTAAAAGGAGTAAAATAAAATAGTCATATTTGTCATTCTTTAGTTTTTTGAGCTGATAAATTGTTTAAAAGCAAAAAAGCAAGTTATAGCCCTTTATCTGTACTTGGTTCTTTTAATGAAAACTCAGAAAAAAATATACATTTTTTTTAAAAAATCCTAAATTAAAATCATTCTTTGAAACACTATGCTCTTGCTCTCCTTGTCTCTTTCTCTCTCTCCTTCTTTCTCTCTCTGTTATAAAAAGACATATGTATATAAATTATTCAGTAAAACTAATATGTATATAATTGAATATACTGAAAAAATTTAAATATAAAAGCCAAAATACTCATAACCAACTGAATTAGTAGTCTAGAAGATATCAAGTCACAATTACTAAATTTTACACCATGATACTTCTTGAAACACATATAAGTATTGGTGTGTGGGCACATGCTCACGCATTGCTAACTGGATTCTTAGTATGGTAACTTCATTTCTATAATAATCCCAAAGTATAGTTTACTTTGATTTATGGGGCAAAAGAGATTAAAATTATGAATATATTTCTAATATATTAAAATATATTTCTAATATACTACTAACTAATAGTAGGTAGTAAAAATAATAGCAGAAAATTGCTGAAAGTTGTATCACTTACACATGTGACTGTGAAAACTTAGGTGCAGAAAGCATTGTGGTTACCTATCTTCAAGAAAGTACTGGTGAAATATGAGGTTTAAAAATATGTCTTTACACAAAACTCAACTCAAAATGGATCAAGGAGTTAGGAATAAAACCAGAGACACTGTGTCTAACAGAAGAAAAAGTAGGCCCTAATCTCCATCATGTGGGATTAGGCCCCAACTTCCTTAATAAGACTCTTGTGGTGCAAGAATTAAAATCAAGGATGAATAAATGGGATGGACTCAAACTAAAAAGTTTCTTCACAGCAAAAGAAACAATCTGTGAGGTGAATAGAGAGCCTATATTTTGGGAACAAATCTTTACCCCTCACACATCAGAGAGGGCACTAATCTCTAGGGTATATAAAGAACTCAAAAAGCTAATCACCAAAAAAACAAACAACCCAATCAATAAATGGGCCAAAGACCTGAACAGACACTTCTCAGAAGATGATGTACAATCAATCAACAAATTTATGAAAAATGTTCATCAATTAGAGAAATGCAAATCAAAACCACTCTAAGATTGGATCTCACTCCAGTCAGAATGACAGTTTTTATGCATAAAAACAACAATAAGTGTTGGTGAGGATGTCGGAAAAAAGGTACACTCATACACTGCTGTTGGGACTGCAAATTGGTACAGCCAATATGGATAGCAGTATGGAGATTTCTTGGAAAATTGGGAATGGAACCACCATTTGACCCAGCTATCCCTCTCCCCGGTTTATACTCAAAGGACTTAAAAACAGCATACTACAGGGACACAGCCACATCAATGTTTATAGCAGCACAATTCACAATAGCTAAACTGTGCAGCCAACCTAGATGCCCTTCAATAGATGAATAGATTTTAAAATGTGGCATATATATATATATATATATATACATATATATATATATATATATATATATATATATATATATATAATGGAATATTACTCAGCAATAATTGCGAATAAAATCATGGCAATTCCAGGTAAATGGATGGAGTTAGAGAAGATAATGCTAAGTAAAGGTAGCCAATACCAAAAAAAAAAAAAAAAACCCAAACCAAAAAAAAAACAAATGCCGAATGTTTTCTCTGATATAAGGAGGCTGATTCATAGTGGGATAGGGAGGGGGAGCATGGGAGGAATAGAGGAGCTCTAGAAAGTGCAGAGGGGTTGGAGGGGAAGAGAGGGGGCATGGGGGTTATAAATGGTAAGATATAATGATCATTATTATTCAAAGTACATGTATAAAGACTCGAATTGGTGTGAATATACTTTGTATACAACCAGAGATATGAAAAATTGTGCTCTATAGGCGTCATAAGAATTGTAATACATTCCACTGTCATATATAAATTAAAAATTTTAAAAAATACTTCTTTATTATTTCTGTACCTTAAAATATTGCCAAGTATTAATTTTTCATCAAGTTGTCATTTTCTCTGACATTTGGTTTTATTAATCAAGCCATTTATCATTAATTTGTAGAAAATATCATAATTAAGCCAAATAAAATAAAGTCCTTAAAAGGTTAAAATTAGAAAACAGGTGAATTAGAACTTTGATATTACCCTGTTGACATACAGAAGCTTTTTGGAAGTATGGGAATCAAGTTTTTTCAGAGTTAGGTGCCTAGATCTTAGGGCTGGCTGGTTTTTTTTAAATGTTATAAAGATTTGATTTAAAGCTCTCTGACAGTTTTGACATTCAGGTGAAAGTACTGCTGCTGCATTTGGAACAATTTGCATATCCCACAGCTAAACGGAATGTTTGAGGTGTGCACTGGTGTAAAGAAATTAAAAACAAGCTATCACACATGCTTAAATGTATGTATTCACAAAACTGATAGTTGGATTGCACCACCCCATCCCCCTCCAATGTAATCTGTGATTTACTCTTCTATAATAAATTACCCTACCATGTTATTCTCGCTGGAAGATCTAACCATGCATGTAAGAAGCAAAGTAATTACAGCCCCCTCTTGTCTAAGAAACCTCCTTCAAGCCCTATGAGCTCTTTATACACAATGCAGCAACACAAGTCTATTGTAAACCTCTTACCTGAAAAATCTGGATTTTTTACTATCAGTAGCCATTAAATGTCATCTGAATAGTTTCACTGTCCACAACAAATGTATTTTTATCTCTTATAGTAAGGTGTTAAACTATTCCCAAGGAGGAATATGTACTGAATCTTGCCAATATGTCTACTTAAGGAAAGGACAAGGTTTTAAATTTAAAGAATTCTAAACTAACAAATAATGGCAGGAGAGGGATGATACATTCCTACATAGAAATAAGGGGGTAAAAACAATATTCAACTAGACTGAAATAGTTTGAGATGACATAAGGTTTCTTCCCTTTTATTTATCATTTCAGATTATTTTTAGATAGACATAGAAAAAGTTATTTAATGTGCTAGGGAATAATAACAATAAAGAAAAGACAATGTAATAAATTCAAGGCCTTAAATATTATAAAATATTTCAAGAAGATAACCCATTCAAGAAAATATCACTGGACATTACCTTTGGCCTTTAGAGTCTCAAAGGGCAATTCATAACACTTCTTTATGCATACCTTTAAAAAAGAAATACTTAAGATTAGAAATATGCTGAGGAAACAATTTGTATTTCTTTGATGTCTTTATGATTAGCTGTGAGAAGTAGGTAACTGAGTTTGTTTATGCCAACTGATGTCTGTAGTTTTAAAAGAAAAATTAAAGCTAACACATTCAAATGCATATATGCAGCAGAAGTATTCAATCTAAACCCCTGTAAGCACATTTCTGAGAAGTATGTCAGATAGCAGGGTATTATTAGACACTTTCTTAATTCATGCTAATAATGTATTTATCAATTTGCTTATCCTTTTTTAATAGCAACCTTGCAAATATCTATAATATATAATGGATTGATAAGCATGTTCAGTTAGGAAATATAAACAATAAGACCAAAGTCCTGTCCTCAAAATAGTAGGTAAAACTGAAAATTCTGCACAATCACAGATAATCCAAAGAAAATGGGTAGGGAAAAATAAGGGAGCAGAGGGCAATGTTTCCAGCATAGGGTAAACTGATCTATGGCAGCTAAGGTATTGACATTAGGACATTGCTTTATACTTTCTGTCTTCACAGCAAGACTATACAGATTTGGAGGCAGAGATACAAACAAATGGATTAGTCACTATCAAATTCCTTTGCATCCAAATGCCTTTGTTAGTACATAATCACAATCAAGGCTGGGAGTTGTAGAGCAGGAAGGAGACTGAGATGCCTTTGCAGACAACTGGTGTATTTGATTATAAAACGATTTAACTAGAAACAACTTTCCCATTAAAAATTATTGGAGGAATCTCCATACTGCTCTCCAAAGTGGTTGCACCAATTTTCAGACCCACCAGCAATGTATAAGAGTACCTTACCCCCCACATCTTTGCCAACATTTATTGTTACTTGCATTCTTGAAAATTGGCATTTTTACTAGAGTGAGATATAATCTCAGTTTAGTTTTAATCTGCATTCTGTAATTGCTAGAGACTTTGAACATTATTCCACGTATTTGTTGACCATTCATATTTGACCCAGTTATCACACTCCTCAGTATACATCCAAAAGGATTAAAATCAGCATACTACAGTGACACAACCACATCAATGTTTATAGCAGTTCAATTTACATTAGCTAAGCTATGAAACCAACCTAGATGCCCTTCAAGAAAGTAATGAATAAATAAAATGTGCCATGTATATACAATGAAGTATTACTCAACCATAAAGAAGTATGACTGTATGATATTTGCCAGCAAGTGGATGGATCTGGAGATGATTATGCTAAGTGAAGTAGCCAGTCCCAAAAAACCAAAAGTCTTTTGTTTTTTTCCGATAGGTTAAAACCAACTCACAATAAAGGTAAAGGATGAGGGAAAGAATAGAACCCCAGTAGATTAGACAAAGGGGAATGAGAGAAGGGAGAGGGAATAATCAAAGACAGTGGAATGAATCTGACATAGTTTTCCCATGTACATATATGAAAACAACACAGTAAATCCCACCACCATATACATGCGTAAAAATGGAGATCTAAATAGAATAAGATATATTCCATGCTTGTAAAATTATATCAAAATGGATTCTGCTGACAAATATAACTAAAAAGAACCAATAAAAAGAGAAAGGAAAAAATTTTAAAAAAAGAACTAGGGATGAGGGTCAGTGGTAAAGCACCCCTAAATTCAATTCCCGGTGCCAAAAAAAAAATACTGTATGATTCCTTTTACATGAGACATCTGGAAGAGTCAAATGCATAGAAATAGAAAAGTGAGTATTGTTGCCAGCATTTTGGGGATAGACAAAGAACAAATTTTAGTTATGTAAGATGAAAACTTCTGGTTATTGGTTGCTCAACAATGTGAATATACTTAACACTGCTGAGTTGTATTCTTACAATGGTTATGATGTTAAGTTTATGTTATTCTATAACAATTAAAGAATAAAATATATCTCTAAAATAAAAAATAAAAATAAAAAAATTGTGTTTGATATTGTATGATCTTAGAAAGTGATCTCTCTAAATTTGCTATGAAATCCCAATGATGACCTTGATGTCATATTTATTAATAGTCTCCACAGAGATTTGGCCCAAGTCTCAATAGCAGTTTTACTAATGGAAATACAATACATAAACATAGCTAATCCTATAAGCCAGTACATTCACAGTGAGAGACACCCTTAAAATTTTTTTTTAAGTCTGAAGATTTTGATTGACTGGATTTTTAATGTGCATATGTAATGTTTCTGCAAAGGAAAAACAAAGCAACAAACATCAAAACACACTAGTAAACCAAAACAAAATTAACTTTAAGCTGTATCAATAACCAAATGAGATCTAGAAAAGGAAAATGACTCTGCTGTTTTATTTAGGGTATTGGTAATATCACACTTACTCTGCAAATGTAAACTTGAGGAGATGAACTGAAAATTAGAATCAGGTGACATAGAATCTGAACCAATACAGATGAATAAACAGAGGGTGATTAGGAACAAGAAAGAAAATCATGTCCAGATTGTAAAGACAAGGTGAGGAAAGATACCTTTGAGAAATTTTATTTGGCCATTATAACATATATTTTTAAATAATTTAATTAAATTATTTTCTGTCCCACTTATTAGAATGAAAGTATCACCAGGGCAGACAGTTGTTCTTTTTTTTACTGTATCTGCATTTCTATGACTATAGCCTACCATAGACTAAAAGATCAATCAGTATTAACTGAATAAAACAATGAACAACCTAACCAAACTATAAAATAAGAACTTAGTCAAATCTATGTAAAGAATCACAAATTTAAGTTAAAAGCTATTATGCATTATATATTAATATATGGAGTTTGCCCTTTTGCAACTTCAAACTCTCACGACTTATTATTAATTCTTCTATTTAACATTCATTCCAGCAAGGGAAACAAATAGTAAACAAGGAAATTACTAGAATTATAATGTCATGTAAGTAGTACAAGGAAGGTAAACAAAACAAGATTACATCATGGGTAGACACATGGGCTGATAGTTTAGATAGGCTTGCATAGGGAAGTTTCTTAGAAGAGGTGACAATATGAAGAAACCAGGAAGAAGTGAAGGAAAGGGTCAAAAAAAATGGAACTATCTGAGCTGTTGTAGGATTAAATGAGATAATATGTATTACCTTGCCTAGTGCAATGGCTAATATCAAGCTACAATGTACACAACAACTATTATTATAATGTTCTTGTTCTTACAAACTGAGGATTTCCCCACTAGATTATGAATTTGTGGAATGTATTCATTTTTATCTTCCCTAAGGCTTCTCAAATAGTGCCTAGCATGAACTCAATAAACTGAAAAGAGGAAGACATAATTATAAGTTCATTAGTTAGAAAAAAACAGACTATATAAACAAGAAAAATGTCACCATATTTCATATGTCAAAATTAACCTATCTCTGTTATGTCTGTATCATGTAACAATTTTTCTTAGATTAAAAGGAAAATATATATATAATTATTAGGACCAACAAATCATGAATAATAAAAGAAAAAGAATGAATCAAAAAAGAAAAAAAGAAAGTTATCGATATTAGTCCACTACCTCAATGATTGACATATTGTGTTCACCTCTATCAGACTAATATATTTCTAGAGCACAGAGGTTGATCTATTAAATATTAAAATACTAATATTAAAATATTAAAAACATCTATTGAACTGAACTAAAATTATCTTTAATATTCTTGATTTTTAAAAATTATCTCAAAAGAACAAAACCAAAAGGCCAGGAGATTGACAAACTTAAAAACTACATTTAAAAAGTAAAATTATCAAGTGTTAGGTCTCAGCCCTTTGGCAAAGGAGTAAAGAATAAGGCAGATTTTTACCTATGATTGAAATACAAATTACAGTATGATATTATCACTGAAAGAGACAAATAAGTAGGACAAGCCAAAACAACTCCATTATGAGGTACATACTACAGGCAGCATTTCCATGGACCATGTTGATATAACTGACTGATTATATGGGGAAAATTCAATTCCATTTCCTATATCTTTCCAGGTGCCAAAATATAAATCAGGTTAATATTTCTAAATATAACAAATAAAGTATTTAAAGACCTCTAGATATGCATATGGTTTTCTGAATTCTACAATGAGAGACTTTTAAGGCATAAACACAGTGGCATATAACATAAAGATTTATGAATTTTACTATTTAAAATTAAAAATTTTCACAAGTTAAAAATGTCTTTAACAAATGTAAGAGACCAAAAACAAATAAAGTTTAATATTTTAGTGTGTATGATGTTCATATAATTAATATTCTTTATTTGTAAATAAATGAATCATTCTATTTTTGAAATAAGCTAAATATATGAAAGGGCAATTCACAATAGAATTGTAAAATATAACATACATTAAAAATATGTTAATATTTATAACATATTTTTTAAAAATATATAAAATAACGAGCTTACTAATTGTAGTGATAAATAATAAGCTAAAATATACATGAAATCATATCAGTCTGCAATAGTGATAAAAGAAATGCAAATTAAAACTATAGATATTCCATAATAATTAACAGGTTAAATAAATTATATGTGATATTAAATTAAACATAAGTGAAAATTTATAATTAATCATTAGGCTTAAAAATAGGTAATAAAATGACAATAATAATTTTAAATTTTAACTAGTTTTTAAGAATTTGTATATATAAACATAGGAAAACACTAAACCAAAATACCTAATATACATTTTGAAAACAAAATTTAGATGTAATATTATTAGTCTTCTTGAATGTTAAAAAAGTCAGTTGAGAATGTCTGTATGTCCCCAATTTTGGTGACTACTTTCTCCATTAACTACAGTATTTGTTTTTAAGGAAAAAAAAAAAAAGAGGAAGGAAAGAAAAAGAGTAGATGTTGTAAGGAAGGAAGGAAAGAGAATAAATAAGAAAGAAAATGGGAAGAAAAGTAGAACTTGTCAAAATAACAGCAACTACCTATAATGATAGCGATTAGGTTCCAAAGAGACAAAATTTAACATA